TACCTAAGTGATTGTCTCGCCGCCTTCCCTGAATGGCGAAGTCGAAAACAACTCGCTCTCAATTTCGAGAAATGCGTTGTCAACTTCGTTGGTGAGCTTGGCCGGCGCGCGTCTACCCTGGCAGAGCGAAGCGAGATTCTTGGGTGTGCTACTCGACAGCGGCCTTCGCTGGCATGCGCACGCTCGATACCTCGCTGCCAAAATCAAATTACGAACCTTTCTTTTGAAACCCCTCCGTTCCCCTGACTTAAACATCTCCCTAAAGCGCCGTCTATTTACCGCGTGCGTCCCTTGTGGGCGTACGCATGCGAGACATTGACGGTCGCTCTCCTAGTACACTGCGTCACAATCAGGTCGCAGAAAACAAAGCGGCGCGCTCACATCTCTCAAACCCCCGACCGGACCGCACTTCCCGAAACGCCGTTGTGTTCAGGGTTCTACGCGTGCGCAATCAGTTCCCGGCGGAGCTGAAGAAGCAGGCGGAGACAGCGCTCGAGAGAGCTCTGAGGCCGTCCGCCCCGCGCATCCTGCGAGAGACCGGCGTGCACAGAAGAAAGGGCCCACAGCACGTCGCCTTCACCTTCCGCGCACTGCCCCCGCACAAGCTCTGCGACGCGGGGGAGCAGCAAGTGCGCGGGAGGCGCGTTCCGCCGGGCCAGCGTCGCTTGCCCACAAGACGTCGCGGCGCCACGGACGCTTGAGTAAAGTCGGCGCCGTGGCGAATAAAACCAGTGTAAATAGTGTAGTGTTGTGCGATTGTGAATGAATGTGTTGTAAATATAGTTTCAGAGTAAATGTGAGAGTGAACGATTAAAAGTATAAGAACAATTTTAAGAACTTTCAAAACCATTATAACTACTATGTAATAACTAGAATAGGCCCAAAATGGCAAATGTATTAGTTAATAAGTTAGATTGTAAGTTCGTAGATTTAAGACAGGCCCTACTTGCAGCTGCAAAAGCCTAAACGGCTGCAGCTTATATACGAGACCCCATATGCGAAAATAAACTCCGGGGAAACCGAAAGAAAGCCGCTGTGTCACTGCCCTGAGGAAGTCTGCGACGTGTCAGGCGAAACGTCGGTCTCTGAGCCAACGACGCGGCTTCTACCGGACAGCCAAGAACTTTTGAAGGGGTGTCAGTTTCAAATTGAACAGATCATACAGAAGAAATGCAGCAAGAAGAGATCATATGCAAGGTGACAACAGCTTATATGAATCCTTTATTAATTGTTAACAAGAAAGACGGGTTGATTCACTTGTGATTAGATGTCTGTAAGCTCAACGCGATCACCCTACCATATCGTGACGGTCCGCCAACAATTCGCGACATGTTCATGAATTTTGGAGGCCAGGTATGGTTAATGAGAACAGGAAGAGTTCAAAAAGAAAATGAATATTGCTGACAGGGAAACCAGCGGATCCTCTTAAGAACGACCAGCTTAAGATTTCCGAAGAAAAAATCTTCAAAAACGGAGGGGGCCCAATAAAACGAACACGGGTGTCTACGTTCGTCCCACACTTCAAGAAACCGCCAGTGGTAGACCGACTGAGCGAGCGCGGCGCGGTTTGAAAAGGGCGCGCCCGCAGCCTACAATACTGTTGCGCGCGATGTCCGTCTTCTGTCTTTTCTAATTGTACCTATTGTTGTCATGCATTGTTGAAATAAGGATAATGTCAGTGGGTAACTGGCGTACCAGATTCTTCTAAGATTTCTTCTCGATCCAAGAACGGGCATCATAAACCTTCGAACAATCTCAGTTGGCTTGTTTGAGAGGCAGAATGGCCCGTTTGACTGTTTACCGCAATGCACCTCAATATTTGTTGTGAAATATGTTTTTGCATCAGAAAGTGCGAAAATCTTAGCTACGAATGGTTTGAGTTTCTCATCAATTTTAACAAATTCGCCCAGATCATAACACAGTTTACAACTGTTTGTGAAAGAATCTAAAATAGTTTTGATATGAGCAAGCGTATTGCTTTTGTGTACAATCAATTCTGGTATGGGTATTGTTAAATCTGATTGAATGCAACATTCATAAAAATCTTCCACAACTCATGCATGCATGTAAAATTTCTGTACCAGTGCCATCTGTGACACACAGTGTCTTCACATTAGAATGATTTCCTTTACAGTTCCTATCAATACAATATGCTTAGCACAGCCCAAAGTTCATTAAGGGATATTTCTCGACAATTTCTGTTATATGTGTATTGGACATCATGTTTTTGCTTACGAATGTAATTTTGGTAAATGTCATTATCTCATTTAACATATTTTCATCAAAAATCTAGAAAACATTTTCTATTTCTTATTCTGCATTCTTAGCACTACCTTTGGGCCCAGGAAAAATTTTATAACTTTCTTTTCTAATCTTCAAAGATTTTTTGAAGGGCGTTGTCGACCATTTAGTCGTGTTATCTACTACTACAAAACAATTTTTTCCTCCTTCAAGATCATATTTCATATCAGAAATATTTTCTCCGTCAATCTCAGAAGTTGAATCGTGAGCTATATCATCATTATTCATGTGCATTCATTTCACCCTCACAGAAAGTTTCATTTGACAGGAAATCTTCATCTAATATTTCTTGAATTTCCTGAGATTCCAAGAATTCCCAGCTCGACGACCCAGTTGATAACGAAAAATACCCATTTCGGAATGGAAATACAGATACAACTAACGTATGTATCTTCCTTGTAATGATGTTGAGAGCAAAACGAATAGAAAGGAAAGATACATGACTGGCAGTGCAGTGCTCAGACCTCACAATCTTGCAGACCGCTGGAAACCGATGAGGGAAGCGGTGTTAGAAACGATTTTATCTTCTTCCTGGAAGATCACCTGAGGAATACTACACAACAACCACGACTTCCTGCAAAGGCTATTGCCAAACATACCCAGAAAAATATTTTAGTGGTAGCGATTCTGCACCGGCGCTACCACTCGAGGGTTAATATCTTTGTATACCTTAATATTTAATTTCATACATTTAATTCTGGCTGTCTCAAACATTTAAGAAAATATCCAAGATAATTCCAGACAAAATAGGCATTTCTTTACAATCTCTGATTTCAGGAATTACCCAAAGTTAGAAACCTCTCCAGTAATTCCTCCATTTCAATTTTGTGGCTTGTCACCACATCAGATTCTATTTCAAGCCCTAAATTTATTATACTGATGAAAGGCTCAGAAATAATACATCCTCATTGTATATGATGCATCCTAATTGTACCACTTGGAAACTTTTTTGCTAGTATCCATTGCAATCTAAAATGTAAAATAATTTCTCAATGAAGCATATTATTAAGTTAAAAAGTCAATATGTTTTTTACTAAATAAAATTTTATTTTAAATACAGAAGTTTCCATGTACCAAAACACCAGATACAAAATGGAAAGTCAAATTTTGCACCAAATGTTGGTTCGGCCATTAATGTTTTCCTTCTCCTGACCAAATGTGACTAGTACAGACAGGACTGGACCCAGTTTTAGAAGATAAAGTTCACAACTTTTTGCTCCTGGCATGAAATACACTCATTACATTGATGTTTTCTCAATAAGTTTGGCCCCCAAGAAACCAACCACTGAAACTTTTAAGTATTTGTTACAATTAAAATTGGAAGTAAGTTCCATTTAGTATTTGCTTGATGTAGGTACACATATATGGGTAAAATAATTTATATAACATTAAAAAATATACGTATTCATTAAAAAATATAAAATATGACCATGAGATATTCCCAGGCTCTTAGATATTACGAAGATATCTTACACATACCACAAAGTAGACACAAAATAAGATTGTGTTTACACAGATTTTTTTGTTTCTTCTGGCCCAAATAGTATATTTAAAAATTTAAGTAATACTGCTGACCAACGAGTAGAAGAACTTTCTCCTTTACAAACATTTCTCCAGAAAATTTACTGTAAAAACAATTTAATATTCTGTTTTCAGAAATGAACTATTTCAACATTGAAAAAAAAATTCCTTGCACATTATTAAATTAATATATGTATGATTACCCCTTCAGATGTTAAGTACATCAAACATGTCTATGACCAGTGCATAGGAACAAAGTTTCAGGTACCTCAAAGGGTAAAGGAGTAAGAAGTTACTTCTTCCCACTGTTATTGGTGTCAATGGATGTTTTTTATACGAGACTAACGTGTCCAAGTATGGTTAAAATATAATTTACTCTTAAACATTCAAATAATTTCACACTTACACAACAAACTTGTTAGATTGATTTCCAATTAAAACTACGTTTTCTTTCTAAATTGCAGCATTTTTAATTTAGAGGAATTCTTGAGTGGCTTTAGTGACCTCATGATTTTTTGTTTGCAATTTGTAATTTTAGTTTTAATTGTACAACACACAATAATCAATAACTTTAGTCTAACCCTCATTCAACACACTTGCAAATAAGGGTTATTTATGAATCTGGAAGTAATATTTTTGTTGAACTCTAACAATGAATAGATTTGTAATATTCAAACCATAAATACAAATCTTGTATGACTGACAGAAACATCCATTAACAATATTGGTGTAACAATGTTTCAATCAAGCACATTATACAGATATTGGCCATAGAAGAAAGAGTAAAATAAAATAAAAGAGAGAGCTAAGAATTTACAAGACATGCTTAAGGGAATCCAACTTATGGCTTCACAATTGTGACAGGGGGGAAAGATTCATTAACATCGAATGCACGCCAAGAAGTAATAAATACAGATAAACACACAAAGTGCTAAAATATCCGCACATCATTATTATTGATATGGAGATACTTTGTTGATTCCATATAATTTATATACATTTTTTATATACATAAAATACAGGTACATGATTGCATCTTGCCGGAACTGCTTTCCTGTGCAAATCAAAATTTAATATAACATTATAATATATTAAATATAATATTTAATTAACACACAAAACTTTCTACAAACCTCTTTTTCCTTTCCACAGAATTAACTCAGAGACATTTATTCAACTCTTCCAAAAGGCTTTGGACAGCAGCAGAAGATAAAGAAGCTTGTGAACCGAGCAATTTCTCTTGAATGCCACCTATCAACTTTTTGCCATCACTTAAAATGAAAAAGAAAATGAAGTGGAATTAATTCCCCACACATTTCCAGTCTGTTGTGATTTATCATATGCACACTTGAATTCTCACACAAATAAGATGCACAAAATATCAATACTAGATCAATCAGAGATGGCAACACTATGTTATCATTAGCAATCCTTGCTATTAAATAGATTTGTCTTATTGTTCTCTAATACCAGAAATCACTCTGCCCCAATGACGTGATTAAGTACCACATTTATAAAAATATCTTAATAATGATATAAATATTAGAAAATTAATTTAACACTCAAATGCAATTGACTTTCAGATAATATTTCTTCTACGATAACCAAGAGATGAAGTGCCAAAAGCCCGTTTCGAAAAGCAAAACAACAATTAAAGGACATTGAAATATATACACAAATGAATGAAGCCTGTGCATTAAAGGTTGACTTCAGGTAAATAACTACACCACCTTCAGGTTGTAAAGAAGGTTTCAAATTTATCAATCAAATTTTACTACCACTACTACTAATTTTTTTCACCCTCCCCTAGCAACAAACAAGCAATACAGTGACAACACAGCATAATAAAAATAAAAAATAAACTGGACAGCCTGCTGGGCTTCTGGCAGAATTACCAATGCCACTAAGAAGGAAATGATCAGAGATGACGTTAATATGATATATACAACACTTCCTATTGTATACATCATCTACAGAGTTAAAATCTTTATTTGTCATGCTTCCTAAGACTGTTCGGGCAAAAAAAAAAAAAAAAACAGGACAATTATCAGGCAATAAGTTTGATGAGCCATGCATGTAATATTATATTATGAATCATATATGCTTGTATTTGGAGAAAAATGAAAGTAAAAATAGGAAATACAAAATTTGGTCCATAAAACACGTTTTGAACACAAGAAGCTCAGTTTGACACACAAGTTTTAATTCAAAAAGGTTTTCATGAAGATCAAGAAGTGAATTTCAAGATTTATTAAGGTTGCACAATATATTAAAATAAAATATTGTGACACAAAATTTTATTTTAATGCTCCACCAATATAAATTGAATTACTTACTTGCTCAAAAGTGTTTCAATAATTTCAGAACTGCCTTCTTCACTTTTCTGCCTTATCAATTCAGCCTTGTAACAATCTCTGCAGGAACTTAGAATGTTGTGTAAACTTTCTGGCGGAATTTTTGTAGAAGAATGACACAGAACGTAATATAGATTCAAAGCAGCTATAAAATATGTTGCATCCTGTTTTAAAGGAAACATTCAAAAATATATTATCAATAAAGCATACCAAAACATTGAAACAATATTACTGATTGTTTCATTTGTGACAACTCTGGACAAGATAATGTACCATTGCTTAAACATTTAAACAAAATAATACCAATGATTTCAAATTAATTTTAAAGAACACAAGAAAACTTAAAGATGTTGTATTTTAAACTGTACTAATATGATTTTTGGTAAACCATATGCCAATAATTGATTTTCATTCTTGACCTCGCAGGTTCACACCCTCAAAGATCTAATGGAAGTTTTATATGCCACACTTTCAAATGTTATTTTACAATCTTAATTCTTTGTTTTTCATTACAAATATAAGAGATATGTTTGTTTGTTATGTCTTTTTTACATTGTATTTCTATAAGCTCCTCAATTTTCATAGACCACTGAACTACCAGATATTTAAATGAATTAATTACTTGTAGGCATAGCCTGCTTATCACATTAACTAGTGGGGCTACACAAGCTTATACTTCCTCACATTATTTATATTGTCTATAATATATTCTAGTGTACTGCGATTCAACAGATCTAATAAATAAAATCTATCCTCAGGTAATGACTGCAGGCTCTACTGCTGTCATAAAAAGACGACATAATTTAATTTATTTAACAATTTGTAAATAATATAATAATGAACTCAAATGAAAATGAAATATTGTTAATTTTAAAAAGTTAATTAAATCTTGACATTCTGTGATTACAAACAAATAGTGGTACTACAACATCACAACTTCCACCCAATGTATTGTGTGTTTATAGATGGGTGTGATCTCAATTCCATATCATGTTAAATTAAAGTATCATAATGGGAGGGGAAGGAAAAAAGAAAGAAAGAAAAAGAAAAAATGAAAAGAAAAAAAAGGGGGGGCAGAGAGAGGGAGAGCACACAAACACTATCAACTCACTTAAAAAGTATAATAAAAGAACATTTACTGATATTGGAATTAACACATTTGCTAAGAATGCTATTACAAATAACATCTACAGGTGTTTAAGAACAGGTGAACTCTTTAGGAGGAGGAATAACAGTAAGTTAAGATCAATTAGAAGTCTTTAAATATTTGTTTATTGTTGATATTTTATGAAACCACAAAGTTACCTATAATTTATTGTATGACTTATTTAAACAAGTACTTGTACATGATTTTATTTTTAAGTCTTTGTATCTCTATTTGAAACCTGTGTTTGTAATTAGTGGGCAATACCACTTCAGGTTGACAATTATATTTGTAGATGAAACCAGGATATAGATGAATGGTAATATCATTTATTTACCCTGAAAATGTACTAATGATAATGACACCAAATTGTAGGTGAACAAGACCATAAGTGCTGAAAAGCTGAAGCTACATATTTGAAATATTTCATGCCAGAAGTAATAAAGAGATTGTCCAGAAAGAGTTGTAAAATACTTTTGAGTAACATAATCAAGTTAAAGAACAGATCCTCCCTTATGCTGGTATGATATAATGTAAACTTTAGATTAGCAGTAATTAAATTATAATAATTAATAATTTTCTTGGTGCATTATTTCATCTGAATGTATAGGTGTTTGTGAGCTCCTTTTTTTTTTATAAACTTCAATTTTTGTAGTAACTTTAGTTTAACTACAATATTACTATTAAGTCTTCTTATGAATTCCAAAAAGTTATTAGATTTAATTACGTTCTAATTGGCTTTTTATCACCGTTCACTTTCACAATTTAGTCATTTCACTTTGGGTATAGAGTTTGCTATCTTTTAATCTTCTTTGCTCTCGTGTATTCTTTGGGGAATGAAAAAAGAAAAAGGTTTAGTTCAGAAAGGCTTTGAAACAGATGTTGAGTTTGAAATAATAATGAGTAACCACTTCAGCATTTCAACACTACAGAAGGACAGCATCTGAGGTGTATTCTCAATGTTCTCACAAGCTTTGTACAAGACATTAATTAAAGATCTAATTCTGAAGCATACTTTCTTTTTCTTTTAGACAATTTTTTAGGAGGATGAGAAGGTGGAGAAGAAGAAGAAGAGTGCAGACCAACTGATTCTTCGCAAAAAATTTTGGGGAAGTTTCCCCCTAAAAAGTCTTTTACTGTAAATCAAATAAAAATAATAGTGTGATTGTTGAACTCACCTTTTTTGTATATGTGGCAAAATGTTTTTCAAGACCACTGCAGAATAACTTTGCCATTGGTACTCTCAGTACAAAAAGTGACACTATTTGTGCAGCCAAGAAGGGCAGACAATTAATTTTTCCCACAGGTTCTTCAAATGCTTCCTAAAATTAAGAATAGTTTAAAGATGCAATCCATGATAAACCATTCTATTAAGAGCACGTGAAATACTTACAACTCTCATTGCAGTCCTAATTATATTAACTACTGAAACAACAAACATGGATGCCACATTTTGAGCCAATTTTGCAGAGTGCCTTTGGGAAAACATAAGGACTTCATTCATAGTGCATTTAACTTTGGAAAAATCCTAAAAAAATTGAAAATAAATAATAATAAAACAACAAATACCAATCTTAAGACAATTGTGATTACTTTAAGTACAAATCTTTCATTTGCAAACAAGAAAATCCTATCAATCACTCACCTGAACATATTTTTTCATTGATGTCTGTTCCATGTGATGCTCACTTAATGCATCTAAAACCATTTTCATCAATGTCAATACTACCCTTCTAAACAGATGAAGCTGGTCACCTTTGTCATACCCTTTTATGTAGTCTATAAGGTAGGATGTAAATACACAACCAGAGTGTACAAAAAACATTCTGGAACCTGTTTAAAAAAATTAGTACTTATCAGCAGGAAAGGCTACAAATAAGTGAGGAACAAAATTGCCCATAAATAAAATAATAATAATAATGATAATGATAATAATGATAATAATAATAATAATAATAAAAACGTATATAAATATATAAAAAAGAAAAACAATACAATTCAAATGAGACTCTAGCCAAAACTGTCTGTACACAACATGTAGCCATTCTGCTATTACCTTCTAGATGTTTCAAATATTGTTAACCTCACTTTGTTGGTACTTTTATTCATTATTGGGTCAATACATTGTAAATGGCCCAGAATTGAATAAATTGGCCACTCAACCACCCGAAAAAATTAATAATTTATACATATATTTTTTGGGGTTTACAAATGGCGGCCATTTTTGTTTTATGTCATGCCCCATTTTCCGCGTTTGTAGACATTTATTCTTTCCTTAAATACTCAGCTCTGGGTTGTTCTGTCTTCTTGAATAAAAAGCATTGGATTCAGTTTACCCTGACCAACAAATAAAAATATCATTTACCTACTGTACCTTCAATGTTAATATTTGGGAAATATTTGCAAAGAAATCTATGGAATTTGAATACAAAATCAATTGGAAAAAATACAAATTTGATTTTCAGAGAGTAATTTCTCAAAGAAGGAATAGTCTCACTTTTTTTTTTTTTTTAACTATTACACGGTATGGTTCCTTTTTTGTAAATTATCATAGGTAAATAAAAAAACACTTAAAAATTATATCTTTTTAAAAATTGGAATTTTGGATTTTTCCAAATTTTCAAGTGTAATATCTGCTGGAGGACCAGATAAAAATCTGAAAAACACATTCCATAGATTTGGTTGCAAGTATTTCCTCAAATAATAACATAGAAGATACAGTAGGTAAATAATATTTCGATTTATAGGCCAAAGTATACTGAATCCAATGCTTTATATTCTCGAATGTTAGAACCCAGAGCTGAGTAATGTAGAAAAGAGTAAATGTATACAAAAGCAGATTTTTTTTCTTGATGTTCGAGTGACAGGTGCTGAGCCACTTACAATGATTTGGTCCTATTGCAAAATTATATAGATTTGCAAAAATGTTAAAGGAAGAATAGTGAACCCCACCTTGGAGAAAAGGAAAAAGTGGACAAAAGAGCTTCCACCAAAGTTTTGGTCTGCCTTTTGATAAGAAAAGCATTTATAAAAAGATGTTTGACATTACCTCAACTTCAGAGTGTTGTATGGATGGCATACAAATTTCATCAAGAACCGAGAGGTGGATGCTGTTTGAAGGTGGCACGACAATCCCGCAATAAACAAACATTGATTCCTTCCATAATCAAAATACTACTTCAATGAGCCAAGTTGCACCAGTATGGATATCTCAGCAGTGGAAGAATGTGTGTGTAGGTAATTTTATATAATTTTGTGATGGAAATAAGGAAGTACCTCTACTGTTTTAATGTGTAGATAAATAAAATATTCTTACTAATTTTGCTTCAGGTTGTACTTGTTTTCACTTGTCTTCAAGTTGTATTCACCATCTCTAAGCTAAGGATGATAGCCCCCAATATGTTAGAAGACGGCTAAGGGAAGCCTTCAAGAAAGAATTTGTGGTGCAACTGGATAAATTACCCACTAAAAAGATTTGTGGGGTTATTTTAGTGTACAGACTGGGCAAAATTCACCTAGTAAAAGGCAATATAAAGAGCAAACAATATAAAAAGGTCATCAGAGACTGCATTATTCCAGCAATGAAGGAGTGATGTCCAACTGGGGATGGAATATTCATTCACAATGGCGCTCCTTGCCACCAATCAAAAACTGAAGAGTGAATTGGATTTCAGTGATATATGTGTTCGACTGGCCACAAAATAGTTTGGATATGAATCCAATTGAATCCCTAAGGAGTTCTTAAAACAGACGTGAAGGCAAAACCTCCTACAACAAAAGAACAAGTTGTGGAGTATATCATTACTATTGGGAATGAAGATGACCAAACTGCCAAATTATGCAAAAAACTCATTGATGATGAATTAATGCTTTAATTCATACTAAAGGTGATCAAACCAAATATTAATAAGTTTATAGTTTCTTCAATTCTATGGTTTAGTTATATTTTGAGACAAGAGTTTTTGCAGTTAAATACCATTTTGCTAATAAGTTATCCCAAGTCTGCATCTATTGCTAAGAATGGTAAAGAAAGAGGTGCTGGTCCCATTTTCAGTGATTTCTCTGCACTTTCAAAAATTGCAAGAAATGAACATTGTATGACAATATTGACAATAGAGATTCTTTTTTGTTCAATGAAATTATTTCCAAAAAATCATTCTTTAAAAAAGTCAAGTACAATTTTTCCAAAATGGCTATATTTGAAAATGCATTTGTAGTGATTAAATTTGAATTTTTAATTAATGTTTTGATAAATACAATTATAAGTTTTGTTATTCTATTTGAAATAATGAAAAAAGTTATTTACACATTTCAATGAGTTTTTTTTAAAATGTTTCTTTTATTGGAGTGTTTTTTGGGGCTGGGCCAAATATAGCCAGCCCTGTTTGTAAGTCCAAATTAATGGTCCATTTTAATGGTAAATTAAAAAAGAAACAAGCAAAAGTTTGGAGCTATTTCTTAATTTTTAAAATTTCACTCAAAATTACTTGAAACTACTTTTATTTTAGAAAAACTGAATATGACAATTTAAAGATCTAATTTTGAAGAACAATTTCATTAAGAAAGTAAAAGGGAGAGAGAAAAAGAGAAGTGCAGAAGAAAAAAAAAAAAAAAATAAAATTTCCATCAAAATCTTGACAATGATTTTTGGCATTATTACTTCATTTTCTCTACCATGGATATGAGAAAGTAAAAAATATATAATAAAGTACTGTATTATTTCTAGATTTTACCTTTACTCAGTGAACATTTTATTAGAATCGCCAAGCTTCTCACTAATTGAAGATCAACTCTCCCCAAAGGCATTAAACATGTTGCATATTTAATGACAATATTCAAAATGTTAACAACAAAAGGGAGCATTGGAGGAGATTCTTCATCACAATGTTCATCAGAAACATCTCCAAGATCAAGAGGAATGTGTGGAAGTAGTGTTCTGAAACAAATACGAAGCACATGAAAGCCTTAATTTTGCAGAATAAATTGTTTAAAACAATAGAGTAAAGTGCCAAAACACCATCTTTTTTGTATAAATGAAAAATGCGCCTAAGCATTACGAAGTTGACTATGCACTATGAATACAACATACAAAAATTCACATTCTCAACCTTCGTGCAGACCAAAGGTTCTTTTATTTGCAAAATCCTTAATGTATTAATAAAAAAACTTTCTATTGTAGCATACAGCATAACAATTTAATTACTTATAAGAAATTAAATTATATATTAGACAGGTTTTACTAAAAACTTACAATCCAACCTTTTTCAACTTCAAATTGATAAACTAAACACATTCAAAATAGGATCAAACACCAACTTATTTAAACTAATTGCCCATTGCATACACAAATAAACATATGAATGTTAATTACAAACTTATTTTATTCATTAATTTATATTTAAATACAGGGTTTATTATTATTATTATTATTATTATTATTATTATTATTATTATTATTATTATTATTATTATTAAAGGAACCTACTTGCATAGCAATATGAAACATTTATGAAGCATCTGAAACATATCTCTGACTATGAGCAATTAATTTTGCACAAGTATTAATATTTATTGTATTAATATTATTATTAATAATTTGTTTTAACTCACAAAGTCAAAATTTTGTTTGAGAGAGACCTAAACCTTGCTCTTTGCTTATTAGTTAAAATTTGTGGTAACTACTCTGATAAATCTTCCTTTACCAGAAGATTTAAATCATGATCAGGCAAATTGCATGGAATTAAACACACAGATTTATCAACTTAACCTTAGAAGTAATGATTAATAAATTCATCTTTTAAAAATATTTCTTTTATGTTTTGATCACAGGATGCATTGTCCGCAATTACCACACATGACTGGTACATGTCCTTGGCAGTCTGTAGGCACCGGCACACAAACTTATTTGCATTATTCTTTGTTGAATGGACCTCCTCTTATTTCATGATGAATTAAATCAAGGCTTCCTAAGCATACTAGAACATGTACATTAGACTTAACTTTTCCTGCTGCATTGCAACTGCAACTACTTCCTTTCTTAAATCACTCATGTCATCATTGAATAAAAAAATTGAAGTTGTTTTTGTCAATGTACAAGTCAATGTTTACAATAGGAATTTAGCAGCTGAGGTAAACATTCATGATGTTATTTCAATTTCCACTTGTATTCCATTTTTTTTTTCAGGCTTCTTCAAACATCTTTGAGAGCATACAAAAACCCATCTGAATGTTTCCTTAAACATTCCATGAAAACTGTGAGTTCAATGTTTATTTGAAATTTATACAGAAGTCCTTTTACTGGAAGCTTGGGTTTTCTTCTGTGTAATCATTAATTGATGATGATCTGAAATTTTCACTCTCTCTCCATAATATAGTTTGTTTTTTTCCTGATTCATTCACTTGTAATGCACATATCTCAAGTACGCATTTCTCATTCAAATTGATTGCATTTGCCAAACCCCTCCAATTTCCATTCTTATTAAACAGTGTTTAATGCTGTCTGTTTCCTTTTTCTTGATGTTTGGTGTAATCAGGTGGAATACGACATTCGAACACTAACCTAGCTTTCTCTTTTCCAACAAAAAAAATTGCCTGATTGTTTCTCATTTTATTATTGTTTGGTTTAACTATAAAGTTGATAAATCTCATTACAATTACATTTGTTTTCAATTTGAGAGTGCTTGCTCCAAATTTTATTTTGTTAATTTTCAATCTGCATTTGTTTGGTCCCATTTTGGGGTTAAATAGGTTTAGATGTCTCTTCTAAATAATGTAACAAAACCAAAACAAACAAGAGGGTATTCAAAAATGAAAAGGAAGATGAAGAAAGAGGAGAAAGAAGAAGAAACGTGTCATCAAAAGTTCTAGTGGCAGTTCTTGTAACAAATAGCCACACTTCTACAAACTATTAATGAAGAAAAGTTGCACGGATATTATCAAAAAATATTATGATAATGAAGAAGCAAATATTGACATCACAGGCAAAAAGACAACTTTCTCATGGTGGTGGTGATTATGAGCAACAAAAAAATAGATCACACAAGAAGATTTAACTTCAGCATCACAAAGGCAATTTTCTAGTCAAAAAGATAATACACAATTTTATTGATTGAATAATAAGAATAAGCTAAAAATGAAAAAAAATCATAAAACCTCTTGAAAATTAGGGTCCATCTTCTTGTTTGATAAATGTTACATTCCTGAAAATTTGTAGGAGTAAAGCTAAGTACTTACTCTGAAGCCCATTCAACTATTACTTTGAATTCGTGAACTGAATTAAGTGGTTGATCTTCATGAATTACATTATCCAAAGAAATCATTAATGTCAAATACAAGTCAAAACATTCTTCTAGAAACGTGTCACATAGGTCTGGGTCTTGGAAACATTCACCTCTTCCTAAACGATTATCAATAAGTTCCTAAGAAAGCAAAAACAAACACAGTGACAAATCTCCAGAAGTTTTTAGAACAGAATTTTAAAGAGGCCAATAATACTCTCAATAATCAACATCTCAATGATTTCATCATACCTTTACAGTTCCCATGTACAACCACAATTGCACTAATTCCTCTGAATGTTGTCCAAACACTTTGTTTTTGCAACGAGGAATCATCAATATTGAATCAATCAACCGTAAACCTAAACGGGGCTTCGGGCCAGTGGCCTCTTTAAAATTCACTACCTTCCTCCTGCACGATGACTGACAAAAACAGAAACAAAATACATAAATAGGGTTGTTTTAATGTATTCCTATATAAATCAAAAAATAATTCTGTGTCAACACTAACTGATCTGCGGCCATTAGCAACATTGGCTTTTTTGAAAGTTTCTTTAAGCCATTCTCGAGCCAACTCAATTACATCAGCTCCTCTACCCCACATACAAAGAGGAACCAAAAACATTAGCATTTTATCAGAATTATTATCCCACTGCATTTTTTTCAATTGAGATACACAGGAACTTTCCACAGTGGATACGTATTTCAATCGTGATGGAGGCATGAAACTGCACAATCCCAAAACTGCACTATACAAACCGGTATGGCTCTGAGGAAAACAAAGAGAAACATCTTTTAATTTATTTTATTTGTTTCCCGCTTTTAGATTATCTAACATTTGTTCAATCAACTTACCTTAAAAAATTGTAAGAAAGAGTTTAAACACGGTTCAAATACATCAAAAATATTATTTCTGATTTCTTTATTTTCGGGTTTTTCAATATCCTTCAAATGAATGTGCCAAAGTACACCAGCAATTTCCAAAAATCCTTTACTAATTTCAGGATTATCAAGAGGCATTTCTTTTGGAGGTTCCTCAGTATTTTCCAACAAACTGAACGTTGACGTTGTGGCTATAGAACTTCCATCAGTCATAACAGTTTCAGTAACAATGTCTTCACCATCAATAGCTGTAAATCATTAATACTTCATTTATGGTGTCAGTTTTTAGAAATTGTAAGAATATGGTGCTATACAAATACAGTGAAATACGTAGTATTTTTAATATATTTTTGATAACTTTTTAAAACAAAATTATTAATATATAATTAACAATTTATTTAAAAATTAAAAGAAAATTAATGAAGTATTCCACACCAAGACTATTTTGATCAGTGAATTCTTAAACCTTCATATCACTATTCTTAACAACTTTTATCAACTATATGAACCTCTTACTTACATTCATTAACTGAAGTCAAATTATCTTGTTCCGAAAATAGTTTCCTTTTTTTTGACACTGGGCTCTGCTGTGCCTGTTGATCCTTTTTCCCGCTAACCTTAGCTGCATCTAATTTTGCTTTAACGTAGCCTCGAACAAAAGTAATGATATCAAGCATCATCTTCACTGCTTGTTGTAGGGGCAATCTCTTTTTTGAAAAGTAAAAGAACTTTAAACTTGCACTAGAATTCAATGCAACTAAGTGAACTAGGCGCAATATTACAGTTGCTTCATCAAACTGAGAATTGAAAAAGCTCTCGAACAGTAAATCTACCAACTTTATACCAACTACTTCATTTTCAACCTAGAAAAGAACACAAAATGAATACTATTAAAACATACTATTATATCTACAACATTCAAAATGTACCCAAAGAACAGTGAATTCCCCGAACAATTCTGCTAAATAGATACTAGCTGGATCTGTGCAAATGTTCTATACTTTGTAAATCATTGTTTTAAAAGTGAAAATAGCTTTATACTGGATCCCAACATCCGGCAAGTACTAGACCTGTACATCAAAGCACTGGCGGAACATCATGATGGGCTCTTTAATAGGTCAATTTAATTTTCTATAGATTTCTATTTTCTACTCATTTCTGATGTCCCACTCTTATTCAATAAGAGTTATCAAACAAGCTAAATTTTCACTGAATTCTTTGCTCGCCTGCCCCCACATCTTCACCACCTGCTCCCTGATATATTCCCTTCGGATGTTTGTCAGATTCTCTCTCATGTTCACCATATGTTTTCTAGCATATCAAATGTTCCCTTTCTTATTCCCCATGTGTTTCTGGCTTGAAAGCGGTCATTTACCTCCACATGTTCCCCACATGAACCCCTGATAAACTTTATACGCCAATGGCTTCAGCAGATCTGCCACACAAGACGTCTTACAGAGACTCAATGCACCAGACAACATCAGGTTACTCCATAGAGTCAACATCCGCTCAATGTTCTATCCCACAACAAAGGGGATTCTGGCCCTGGAGCAAGACCACCATGATCCACTACATAAAGCGGGAGTGTGTGAAATCCCATGCAGTTGGCCAAACGGGAGAGCATGCATGAACACATGAACTATGACTTGCTTACAGAACATTCACAAATCAGCCTTAGCTCAACACTGCCAAAACCCATCACCTCGTCAACTCGACTGACACAATAAGACCCACACTATCAGCACTGAGAACCATCAGGAATGGTTTTTAAGGAGACCCTGGAAATACCAAGAAGGCCCATTGCCTAAAATAGAAACGATAAGTCTCTGCCACAGGTACACGTCAAAACTGGCTTTACGACCCACCACTTCGGTTCTACTCCCAGGGGACACACCAGTGCAGTGCAATAGGCTGTTACTCCATTACCTCTCAATTCATTCTCCCTGACGACATGCCCCTTTCACTACAACAGCCTATCCCACACCCCTTCTCCTCCATATAAGCTAGCCATTTAGCTGCAATACAGTCTACGGAAGGCTACAATATGCTAGCCGAAATTTCAGCCACTATAACACAATCACGGCTTGATACAGACAGAGGTAAAATGGTGCATTATTCTAAATGATGACAAGAAATATGATAAAGTTGTTCAAAAAAAGAATTAATATTACTTAAATATTTTACTTAATTAAATTCACGATATTCCAAATATTAAGGTGCATTAGTTGCACCTACTGCTTTTGACAAATTTCAAATGACTTACCTCTAAACGCCCAACAAGTTCTTCCAGAGGGACAATATGCCAGAATTTTAGTCTTCCTTTAGCTGCTTTTACTGCTAGTAACATATTCACAAATGCAGACCTAACTTGTTCATTAGGATCGTGGAAATTTTTCTGAAAGCGTGGCAGTATCTGCTCCAGGCAAAGCGTAGCATGAGGGTTAGTTAACAATACTGGAAGTCCTTTGAATACACTTCTTCTCACAAAAAAGGATGAGAAATCATTGGCCAAAATGCATATAGTTTTCATCCATCTGTGTATAGTTTCCGCCGGAATAGCTTCCCAATAACTTGAAAGAACTTTGCACACTTGCTAAAAATAGATTTAAACAATACAAATATTGTCGTCAATGATAATAAAAAACAGGGGAAAAACAACCTTTGCCCGAACTTACACGTATTGCAATAATCCGAACTATGTGACAATTGTCTGTAAGTAACTTGGTGATTGCATCATGCTGCTGATTTAAATAAACATCATTGATTTGCCTGCCTTTTCCTGGTCTCTCCAATGGGTAAGCATCAAAAAGGACCTCAGTGGCATTACACCGATGAGTGTTATTGGGACTCTGAAAATACATAAGCATAAATCATTGAATCGTGCACAATCATTTTCAATTATATTGAATGAAGATGAATCTACTAGAAATCTATTTCAACAGATTTTTCAGAGAACAAACTAACCCCTACCAATATCCGAATTTTGAAATAATAATATATTTACACTCACAGTGAGATATCTCCATAATAAAGGTTCATACAATGTGGACAACATTTTCTGAACGTGAGGAAAATGTTTCTGCTGATGAAATTGACTCAATATACGTAAAGCATTTTGACCCGCAATGATCATGTTCAGATTCTGACGAGGTAAGGTCAGAGACTTCAACATAAAAAACTGAATGCATTCCTTTTCAATAACCTGTAAAAAGTATTAAACGTGTATTGGATATGAGAATACAATGAAAAAGAAATCTTAACAATTTAGTTCACAATCAATACATTATAAAAAAAAAACAAGCTGTTGGGGTTCCCCTTGTACCCAGACTTCAGAAATAAAGAAGAGCAAGAAATAATAATATACAGAATTCATTATTTGGTAAGTGAATACACATCACATAAAATTGTGCCAAGTCAACAGTTGTATCTTTATTCCTCTTTTCTCTTTCTTGCTTTTCTCGCTTTTTTCTCTCCTCTTCTCTTTCTTCGTCTTCTCCTTTCTTTACTGTTCTGTTTTCTTCTTCTCTTTCTTTTTAATGTTTTTCCTTCTCCTCCCTTATCTCTCCCGGTTAAAATATTAATGTGACATGACAACAGCTTCTGGGTCAATGACTCCTATTGATCAGGTTTTTGTTCAGTTTGCCTGATCCATTGAGCAAATGCAAACATGGCCCCTTGTTTTGCTTCTGGACATAAATGAAGCTCACTATGCACACGTTTTGTTTGATTTTCCCTTTGCTTGCAATGGTAGGAGTAGAGGTAAGGACGAGTTACTATTTTGTTATAAATGCAGAAAAATCATATCTGCAATACCTTACCCATGCAAATAAGTTTTCTATACCTCAGGAACGAAAATGTCTGTTCTTTTCAAATACGGCCAATCTCACGCTTATTTAAATTTTATTTTTATTAATTTATCTCTAACTTTTATTCATCTTTCAACTATTTATAGTTAAAATGATGGGAAGGAATTCTGGAACTCAAGAAAACCTGCACAGATGATCTTCTCCCCCAAACATCACATACAGTTTTTACTGCTTCTTGACTAAATAAATCTAAACAGTAGGGGCTGCAGCAACACGAATGCTTGAATGCATAAACGACAAGTAGGTTGCCTAACAAAACAACAATGGGCCACAGTTATCACCTAAATTTCTTAACTTATAATTATTCAGGTATAAAATGTGTCAATAGTATTTAATTGTAAAATATTAGCAAACAATATCAAAATATAGAAGGTTAGATTTACAATATTCAACATGAATGATTTTTTAAACAACTGCTGGAAAAGTTCATCTGATAAATTATTCCAGTAATAAAACTATTTTTTTTGTCATCACTGTATTATTGCACATTTGTATGTTTGCATATAAATTATGAATTTTCAGTAAAATTGAATGAATTTGTTAAAAAATCTCAACCACAAACAATAATAGCTTACCGTCTTCATTTCAAAATTCGATGAGTTCCATGCATAGTAATATATTGGAGCATATTCTTCTGCTTTATAAACAGGTAAATACTTCTTTATGACATCATGGATTTCCTGGAAGGAAATTCCTTCAATGTTATTACAGACCAGAATTATATGCACTAATAACCAGTATTTAAGCAATAAAAATAACAAACATACGTACTATCAAGTATATTAACCCGTCACAATATAACTTTTCATAGTTTTTACATACAGTACATTCATTTGACACTTACACTTTCTGAAAGGGGGCAGTGGAATATGATGGGTAAAACTGCCCCCACGAATAAACATTTTTTAAGTTGAAAATCAAAATTAAAGTGTTGTTTGTTTGTTTTTTAAATAAGAAAGTTTTTCTTCAGATTTAAATAACTTTACCTTGAGTAATTCATACAAATGGAAAAAAAAGTGGTTTTTAGCTTCTTATACAATTTTTAATTTTTTTTACCACATTAAGCCAAAGAATATTGACTTTAATTATCCTTGCTCTTTCCTATAGATGATAAAGATGATTCAAGAATTTTTTTTAGGCGTTTATGTTTGATTTTGACCCTCACAATCAACAAAAAAGAAGGAAGAAATATAAAAAGTTATTTTATTCCTTTTTTTTAAGACTATCTCATGTTCCGACACAGATGATAAAAAGACCTAAATACAAATTGAACCCTGTAAACTCTCAACAGTTCCCGAAAATTTCAAAAGCAACACATAAATGAAACAGACAGGAACTACGGACGGAGTCCAGAGCGAAGAAATATTAAGATCTCAATATTTTATAAAAAGAATACACATCAAGTTGAGGGAAGAAGATACAAAAGAATGGAATGACCCCACCACTGTAAACTAAGAAATATTCAACAACAGAAAAAACCCATCATCCATTAATTTCTAAAGGAAGGAGCAGGTGGGTCTCATGAGAAGTACAAAGTATAAACCAATTTAACTCATGCCAATCGTATTACCAAAGATGACCCAACATTTGTGATAGGTACCGTATAATAGAGCACATTTATGAATGCCCAGAGCAGGGCCTTGCAACTCTCCATCAAAACGAGACAAAGCTCGAGGGTGATACTCTAGGAGACGCTAGTGTCATAGGTACAGCTGCAAGTTAGGCTCACCACCTTCTGCACATAAAAATTGACTAATTTGCGAGATATAGGAACAGTGCCTTTTAAATGTTCAATTATTCATTATGTACATATAACAGTATGTACATATTCAGTATGCAAATTCAGTATGTACATATAAGAAACACCTGAAGAGAGTGTGAACATTGACGCTATCTTTTGTAACTTTATGGGGCTGCTTGTGACCCGTGAACTCACGCAGCAGCTACACACATTTTTAGTAGCGTTGGCAGCAGTTCTTGTTTTAGTTCCTGTAAGAAGGTGATGCAGCAGAGTGCACCACCGTAATTGTTTCCACCATGTTTTATGGGAGTTATAAGGCCCTGGCCCACAGCACGAAAGCACACAAAGGAAATCACAGCCCCCCCCCCCAACTCATTAGCAATATTAAAAGAGATCATTATGTATTTATTATTTAAAAAAACAAAAAAAAAACAACAACAACAACAACAACACTGCAGCAACAAAACCAGAACATTTCCTTTGCTATTTATGTAAACTTACCAGAGTAAATTGAACATTTAAGGTCATCATAAATCCAACAAAATTACATCCTTCCTTGCATTTTAAGAAGTTTTTGCTCACAGGAACATCTAACAAATCATCCTTCATTACTTTAAAATAATCTTTACTCTCAATAACAATTTTCACAGCAGCTCTGAATGTCCACACTGACAGAACATCTGCTTTCTAGAAAAGAAAACAAGGATGCATTATTTTAAAGATGGCTTCACACATGACAATGCTCATTATACTAGAGAAACCAACGTTTAAAACAAATTTAATAAACTGATCATACCAGAGCACCATCCAGAAGAGATTGTTTCACTACATACTTGAAAGTATCCACCAACATACTCTCTTCAAGCTGAAGTTTTTTCTTGAGCCAAAGAGAACATAACTTCACAATATGAGATTTCACCTATTAAAATGAAAGGTCAATAATTAAATTCACCTGACATTACAAAATACTGCTAAAGGTATGACAGCTATTGCGATTTTTACATGAACACTAACAGACAAGGCATCCAAGTTGAATTGTGCCAACTTCGTCATAACCAAAATTATGTTTTAATAAATCGGATCAAGTAGAGAACGTAGTACATCCTAGAGAAGTGAGTGGAGGAAGGGGAGGAAAGGATGCAAAGGGTGTGGGGAATAAAAAGATAGACGGGGTGGCTCCTTATGCCCTTCCTCTATCATTATGAACAGAGCTCCGAAATACTAAATGAAAAAATTCACCTAAGTGTGATTTCTGCACATTCCATCGAAGTAGGAGATGCCCCCAAGGGAAGGCAAGAATCTTTCATATTCATTTTGTTTCTCGTGAACATCGCCTTTCACTCACAACACTTGGACCTATGGCCTCTTTCTTAATACACTTCCACTCAAAGCTATCACTTAACTCCTTCCACCTGTACAATCTTATAGAACCCTTTCACATTACACACTGAAACCCTTTTGCACTCAATCCATGGTTTTGAATCCAATTTATCACACTCAAACATCCCTCTCGACACACGTTAAGAACCACATTTATTCTCACCAGGTACTGAGATGTGAAATGATGTAATGAAGGAAGTAACCGATCATGAAGCTTTAAAATTATTTTAGTAAATTAATTTTTAAAATTGATTTAGAGATCCCTTACCTTGCTTATCATACTTATATATGTTACTCATCACTCCTGCCCACAAGATTTCCCTCTAAACCCTCTAACAACCCTATTCTCCTCCACCCAGGAGCGGGGAGAGCCAGTTTAAACAAATTCTTTAAGTTGTACCATGTTCTCTACTTCAGCCAATAAATCAAATTCTGTCAATCTAACAAGTAGTTTGAATACTTTACTCACTTCTAAGAAAACATTTTGGCATGATAACAATTCCACCATTACTGTTACTAAACTTGTCATTGAATCAGGCACAGTAGGTTCTGGCACATCAATGACTGTGTGTGCTAATTGTATCAGTGTAAAGAGAAACTCTTGAGCAAAATCTTCATCCTAAAAATTAAGAATTCACATAAATTTCATAAAATCATAATTAATAACAAATTAAAAGTTATGTCTAAGAAAAATTGGTAAATGATTGCCATTTACAGGAAGCAGAGGCATTTGCATGATTCTTCATTCAGCTAAACTTTACTTTAGCTTGACCACTTAGTTTGTGGGCACTGTGAGAAAAGGCAGAAACATAACTGCAACTTTTTGACACAAAAATGCAATGAAATTGACCCATTTTATGAAAATTGTGGAGACCAAAGCCTCGTTACATCATTGGAACTGTGCGAGCAAAGCAGATCAACCTAGCCACAAAAACCACTGACATAAGAATGTTTTGGAATTCTGCAGATTTCACAATCATGGCAGTATTGGGTCACCTTCATGATTTTTACCTTTTTGGTATATCATCCATAAACTACAAAAAGCTACCCACCCTCAAGCAGTGGTCAACTTCAAGTAAAGAATTCAAGAAAGATATCAAGTTTCCTCTGAGCATTCTATTATTTTACTCGAATGTCACTCCCATTCTAATTTTAACAACACTTATCTGAAAATAATGCCAAACCTGTTTGTCACAAACTTCTTTAACATGTTTTTCTGAGTTATTTTTCTCTGATTGCTTCCCGTTCTGGGATCCTCGGTCAGGATATAAAGCTGTATTTATAACAGTTTCTACATTTGTCAGAAGACAGTTCCATAATGTTTCTTGATCATTTTCATTAATGCGAATGATATCTTCCTATAAATAAAGTTAAGTCAGCATGAACAATTAATTGTATAATAAATTCAAAATAGTTACATTCTCACACACACACAAATTAAAACTCACCTTTTTATCCAAAAAAATTTCTACTGGAGGGTTTTTTAATCGTTCCAAAATGGTTGGCAAACTGTACTTGTTTAAACTCTTCATTGTGAAAAGTCAATTAAAAGCAGTTCTGATACTTCAATGTAAAAAACGATTCAAAATGAGCTTGCTTTAAAAAAGTATGTCACGAGCAAATTATACATGCTCAGTACAGTGTTACACTAATCATAGCCGACAATTTGTAAACCATCACATAAACCCCGCGAAACACACTTTCCACGTGCACACTTTCTATGAAAATCCACAAATATACATAAAATCTACTAATAAATTCGTAAGAGCATCAACCCCACAGAGCGCTTGCATATAACGTCAAAGAGCCTCATCCCTGCTTCGCGCGCGCGTTTGGGTTATAACGGACCATTCGTAAACATCTGTTGTTTCCATAAGTTGGTAACAATGTTAGTGGTCTACCTTTCCCACTTTCCCCACCTTAACAAATATTTGAAAGGTTTCTAACTTTCTATAATCCTTTCAGTTTTAATATGATATTTCATTTAATTATTACCTGGCTCGAATTATTACATAAGCCATTATAAATAAATAATATTAAATCATATACATCAAATAAGACACGTTACATATAACAAAATTAAACACTAAATTAAATTCATTATGTTACGCATTCAGAATTCTATCAAATTATCAGCCTTCATGCAGCTCGTTCCGTGCATTTTGCAAATGTACATTCCCGCCTGAGATATGGTATAAAATTCTGGGGAAATCATCATGTAGTACTCAGACCTTTAGATTGCAAAGGAAAATTATTCGAATAATGAAAAAATGCCATCCGCGTTACCCTTGCAAGCCTTTCTTCATTGTTCTTGGAATTCTACCACTGCTTTGCCTATATATTTACGAATCTGTAATATTTGTCAAAAGTGACTTACATAACGGTGGGAACATATTTTCATGTAATACTGATATTTATAATTATAACACACGTAAAAATCACGTTCAAGTGTCAGTATCAATAGCTTTCTATCAGAAATCCACATACAACACATGAACGTTATTTTACAATTAAACTAAACAATTGAAGTCGGTTCACAAATTTAAGTTAAAAGTAAAATATTTTCTGCTGCATAACTGTATCTATACAATTTGAGACTATACTGATTATCAAAAAGAAAAAAATAATGTTTATTTTAACAAAACAGTGATACATAATGAATTAGTTTACATTTGCATTGTATATTTTTTAAAAGACTTAATATGTTTGTAACAAATAATGTACTTCAGCCTCCGGGTCAATGACCCCATCTCGATCAGGTTTTTGTCGTTTCCCTGATCCATTGAGCAAATGCTGAGATGGCCCCTTGTTTTGGTTCTGGACGAAAATGTAGCTTCACTATGCACAGGTTTTGTTGAACTCTCCTTTTGCTTGTAATGGTATGAGTAGAGGTAAGGGCTAGTTGCTATTTTGTTAGCAATGCAGAAAAATCATACTTGCAATTCGTGTACCGATGCAAATAAGTTTTCTATGACTCGGAAACGAAAATGATTATTTTTTAAATATTGCTAATCTTATGATTTTTAAAATATATTTTTATTTATTTATGTTAAACTTTTACTCATCTTTCAACTATTTATAGTTAAAATGACGGGAAGGGATTCTGGAACTCAAGAAAACATGCGCAGATAATCTTCTCCCCCTCTACGTCACGTACTGTTTTTACTGTTTTTTGACTAAATAAATCTAGATCATTATTTTAACGTGTTTCTAATTACAGTCTTTAAACAACGTTGGTAAATGAAATACGAATTTCCGCCACACAACCCGACCCAGAAAATGGTAAGCAATGGGAAACTTTTGACCCGACACAACTCCCAAACTGATTAAATTGTTTTCATAGAGGTTTATTGAATCAATTTTTTCGTTTTGGAGATAAACGTCTGAACAATATCATGTCACACGCTTTTTATTCACGCACTAATGCGTTTCAGCGTTTAATGTTGAATTTGACGTCCCGTTTCAGAAATAGAAGCAATGTTCTTTTTGAAGACGGACAATGCCCCCATCAGTCCTCATTCTTTATGGAAAGATGTAGCAACCACCATGCCCTCATCTACTGAAATTATCCATGCACCCTACGTCCCTCGTGAGATAGTAGAAACATGGAATAAGACAAAGTAAATTATATAAAGTTATAGTTCAGTGTAGTTTAATTTTTTTAAATTAATTTTCGAAATTGCCCAACGATACACAAAAATGGAACCAGCACCATATTTTTACTGTCTCCTATTACACAAGTAAAGATAATTTAAAGAACAAATTTGAAGCGTCCTGCCTAAACCTGTCAACTACTTACACACCTTTGAGCCTCTGAGCGCCGCTATCCGGTGGTACTTTTCCAAGTTAATAAGTAGCGGCTACAGTATCTAACAAAAAAATCAACGTGTTATTTACCTGGTTTCACTTTAACAATCAGCATACTGCCTCTTTCCGTTAAGTACTTCGTAATCACGTCTATTTCCATGTCTTCCTGTCTTCTGCATCGCTCCGTTTGTCGCTACTTTTCACACACTTCGTGCGTGTGGCCCACTTTTTTTTACACCAAAAACAATGTGCGTCCCTAAAAGTACACAAATCTCTTAAGTGTTTTTTTTTCACAATTTCGACACGATTTCTTCTTTTTGTATTGTTTCACTCGAGCAGTGTCACAGTCACCGTCAGCACAGTTTGTGAACGTAGTGTAATAATTATCTTACTTTACTGGAAATGTTGGAATTTTTTTAAATTGGACAATTAATTCTCGTTACTAATCCGAAAAGTGAGTTTTTTTTATAATCTGTGTTCTTAGTAGTTACGAGTTTCGTCATGGGTATTTTGATTAGGTATCATTCAAATTAATGTGTTCTAAAGCAGCAATAAGCACATATGATAAGTTTCATCGTACGAGTTAAGAGTTTCGTCATTTCTTGGGAAGAGCTGAATAATAAACTCAAATGTAACTTGTTTTGCTAATGAATGCTAGTGGCGGTTGGTGCTCCAACAGATTGGAGGTAGCACCTCCATTGAATGGCGGAAATATAATTTCCAAAATTCAAAATACGAATATGAAATAACAACTTAAGCAATTCAAGTAAATTAATTAAAACTAAGTTAAATAAAAGTCTATATTGAAAAATTACTTACATAATAAGCAAAGCACGGCGTCACCGACGCCGTAAATAGTTTTTAAAATAGTTTTACGTTGAAAATTTCTTTCATGCTTCATTTCTTTCACTCCCAACTTTCTTTAAAATGTTCCTGACAGTATCTGATATTGGGCTTGCCAATGAGCCAATAGTAGCTGATAATGTTATACTTCCCTTCAAAAGCATAGAGTAGAGATATATCTCTCCTCTCCTCTGTTCAAAAGTTCCCAACATCCAATGGCATTGTGTTATCTCCGTACGGGATATGAACTGGACTTATTGCAATTACAAAATTATAATTGCCCTAACAAATACTTGCAGGTTTTGATTACGCTAATTGTTAAAGTTTAGTACAGCTACATTTTTATGCATTTTTGCAAAAAATTCCTAAATATGCACATAGCAAATTTGCATCAGCACAAATGCTAAATGCAGAGCATATTTCCTATAATTCTGTTGCAACATATTTTACCACTACATTTTGTTCTTGCCAGATTTCCTTAACACTTTCATATTTTTCTCCCCCAATTTTTGAAGAGATTGAAACTTCACCGACTCAGTTTAATTTGTGTTCCCTTCTACTTCTGCAATTACTCTATTAATCGTTTAGTATGCGAATCTAGCGTTTCATGCGAATATAACATTAAAAGGCGACTGTTTTGAATGTTTATTTCAATAAGGTAATTAGTTAAGTTTAATAAGAATAAGTTGTGGATCACATTCAATTGAAAATCGGTATTTGCACTCATTTATGTAAGAACGTAACGAAACGTAAACGTAAAGAAAGAAGTCGATCATAAGAACGTTCATTCATTCATTCTCTAGCATTACTCAGTTTTGTTTTATCCGCAAGTTCCGAGGCAATATTGTTCTTAGGGTTTCGAAAACTTATTTTGAAAATACGATATTTTGAAACAAAATTGAAATCTGTAGCGCGATTCACTGGATAATTCAATTGTTCACTTGAAGATGTCCCCATCAGTGTTGCCAACGTCATGAAAGAAAATTGTATTGAAATTGACGTATTGAGCCAAAAATGCCTTTGGTGGTACTGGTGTTTAACGAACGCCATATACATAGATATATTTCGCAGTACATAGGTCTGGGTTGGTGCACGAGAAGTGGTCTAGCTGTAAGTGTCGGCACCACACATTTAAACATACGCACACTCGGAGTTTTACTCAAATTAAGTATAGAGATTTTATGAATAGTGTCCGTGTCAGGTATACACATCTTTCGGTCACGTGATTTTTGCTTAGATTTCCATTGCATAGAGGAGAGATACAACTAGATCGCTGTAACCGACTGCATTTCACATGCTGCCGGCAATCATGATATGACAACCAGTTCGCTGTATTGTATTTTGCTGCGTTTTTAATTTTCACAGGCCTTAATTTATTATCCTCAGGGTTTACTAGATCATCTGGAAATGTTGGCACTGCATACGAAGCAAACATCAACAATAATCCTACTGCCTAAGCAATGCGCTTACAACATTACCTGATGCATCACCAATATTACTTCTCCTGCCTTCGGCAATTTTCCAAAATGAAACACTATATAAATTTATCACTCAGTATAAAAGTTCACAATAATATCCTAACTTACATTATGCCAATTACATATTACTTCCATCAGGTAAAATCTCAAACTGTGGTCTCACCTATGTCGTGACATTTACGTATATAAGATTTGTTAAAAAAAATGAGAAATTCCTTCTGTTTACTGTTAAGATATTCATTCCAGACTTAGTACGAAACTAATATTCCTTCATCATAGAAGAATCATCTAATACCCTTTTAATTTCTGCAAAATAACATAAATTAAATAAAATACTCAAATCTGACATTCAAACAGCACCACTACAATGAATAAGTTTAGAAATGTTAAATAATTCCTTTTATTTAACTTATATTATTTAAGCCATACTGAATCATAGAGTATTTATTAACTATTATTTAAATTATTACATTATATAAAACATATAGAAAAAAAGACTAAATTTTACCAAAAAATAGAATAATCAATAATAATAAAATTATTTATTTAAGCATAAATTATTATATTTTATAATATATTAGGTATTTACAGTTAATTATGTTTATTAGTATACATTATGTTATATGGTATACTTAAGTATTTTTTATTATAAATTTTGAAAATAATTTATCACTTTTGTCAAAACCCCATTCTCATCAGTTTTTCCA